TAAAAAAATTATATATATATAAATAAAGAGCAATTGTTAATCAACGTTATATGTGTCCATCATCATTTTCAAATGAATTAACTGATTTAATTAAAAAAATACTTGTAATTGATGTTACAACACGACTTGGTTGTATGGCTAATGGAAATAAAGATATACAAAATCATCCATTTTTTGATAGTATTAATTTTGTTAAAATCTATCATCAAACAGAAAATCCTACGAATATACCATGTAAATTTAAATAATAAATATTTCCTTTTGAATTTTTTATATTTTTGTTAGATAAACCAACAAAAAAAGATCCATTAGATCCATCATCACTTAATCAAGCAGAAGAACCAATACGAGTATCAAGACATAATCTTCATGAAGAAGAATTTAAAATGTTCTGATAAGATTGATTGAGTATATCTTATTGAAGTTTGTCTTGTAATTGTCATTCAGCTGTTTTGTATTTCGTACAAGTATATATTCGAATAGAAATTACTTTGATTTACTTTCAGTTGTAATATTTTTTTAAACATTCTGTAAAAAAACTTTATCAGTAATGAGATGCGAAGCAAAGCATATATTGGTTCAAAAGTAAAATGAAAATATCGAGAGAAAATCGATGCCATCTGTTTTTTAATCTTCTATTACTTACAAAGATATTCTCTGTACGCGCGTGAGTAAGTACAAAAATATAGTTATTTATTTATTCAGCAACAAAATTTATGATTTCTGTTTTACAATTTCAATACTCTCTTTTACACCTTTAAGATCTGGATCAATCAACAAGAGGTAAAATAAGATTGAAGGATATTTTTACATTACAAAATTTCAGTGTTAACAATGACCTTGTATTTGAAATAGAGTAATTTTACATACATTCCACAAATTTTGCTATTAGTCAGTGGAAAGGGAAATATTTTATAGGAATGTTTTGATTAAGATATCAATTAAAAATGATTCTGCTAAAAGAAAGTTTGTCAATGCCACAGGTATTATTTAATGGCAAATGATTGTATTCTTTTTTAGATGTTTTTAAAAATGTAAATGCGAAGTGCAAGAGAAATCAATAAAAAAAAGTACACTGACAACGAGTAAAACAAACTTTCATATATGATTATTATACTTGGCATCTTTTTTTTCGTTCTTGTATGTGCAGCCAGTGAAAATGAAGTACGTGTAAATAAGAGAATTGCAGCGAGAAATAAAATGAATATTTTTCGTTTTATCTTGCTGTATCTCATCGATAGTTTTTTCTCTGTCCTTTTATGCAATTATTGAGTATATATAATTGAAATTACTTTTTTGAGGAGATCATTCGATTGAAAAATTCAAATAGACGTTACTACCAAAGGTTTGTATCATGAAAAATAATTTTCTTCTTGTGAATCATCGATTCTATTGAAGGGTCCACGAAAAATCAAAGTTATCATGGTTTACGTTTATGCTATACGACTGAAGAATGCTCTACTCCCTTTAGTCTCTTTAATCCTTTCAGTTCTTTAAGTTCCTTTAGGATGTGGGTGTGAAACAATGCAAATAGCCACACTCACACCCTCACCCACACCCACACCCTTCGATTCTTTACCTGTTTACTGTTCGCATTATCGAGTTTCTTATCTTTTGCTTTATTACCGCCTGAAGAATGTAAATGAATGCATGTTTTTGTTGGTGACTGATAAGAGACTTTTAGACGATGAAATATCAAGTTATCAGTGAGAACTTCCAACTATATGTTTTTCGTTATAAAAGAATGTATACAATATGATTTTTTTCTTTTGCAATCTCCAGTTTGACTGGAATGCCGAATAATTTACGGTCGAGGTAAATTCAAAAGGATACTTTAGGGTATGGAAGGGTGACTGAGGGTCTGGATGTCGACGTGAATAGTAGTACCATACTCACACCCACATCCTCAAGATCTTCATACCACTGAACTAAAAATCCGTTCGTAAAACAATACGAAATCTTCAAAATTCTCTATTACTGTGATCGTGTAGCTCGAGGTGGCTAACTTTAGATGATGAAGCTGAAGAAGTAATGATAGTGATGATTTTATTGAAATAGATCAGCACTATAGATAGTACAGCGTAACAAAGGTGGAGCTGGACAACGACCATCCAGCTTCACAAAGAAAAACATGATGAAACGAAAGAGATGATGAAATGAGTATGAAAAAGAAAAGGTTATGAAATGACAAGAACTCTAGGTGGCTGACAGATGTGACATATGTAGAAGGAACAGAAATATATGTACACATATGTCAAGAGAAAAGAGAAAGAAAAAAAGAAAAAGAAAAAGAAAAAAAAATATATATATGTGAAGGGAGAACAGAAAGACAAAATATGTGACTAGACGAGAGGATGATGTACATCATCCTCTAACAATTACATCTGTTTTTTTAGAGCGCAAATAGCAGGCATACGGCGCATATAAGCAAGTGCGTCATAGGAATAATAGAAGCTTATCATCTTCTCATGATGATAAATAGGAAAGAAAAAAACCCATATATATATAGTCAACATCCGTTAGCACCATAAAATATAATACGTTGACGCCAACATTATTTTCTGACTTCTATAAGAGCGCAAATATGGGTAAGTTTGTTTCTTTGTTTTTGAAACTTGAATGAAACTTGTGAGTTTACACTAGCAGTTTTCGATACAAAAATGGTATATTAAATTTTTAGTAACTTTTATCAATCTTTTTAATTGGGTAATTACAAAAGCTGAAACATTAGCGATTAAAGAAGCAAAATCACAGTTCTCTGATTGATCTGTAAGAGAATAAATGTATCTTTCGTTCTGTTCTTCTCACATATAATATATTCCATACTTTCTTTTCGTTCTTACGTTTCTTCTATATTTGATGTGTTTTCTATCGTTATATACATGAATGGATTCCTTCCCAAGTTCTAAAGAAAAATACTAAGTTTTACTCACTATTTTTCCCACTCTATTTGGGTATTTAAACTCGCACGTTTCTTTAATAAAACGTTGCTTTTATCACTGAGCAATAATATATCTTGGTCGATCAAATAAGACTATAACAAATGGTGCACTAGCTAGGAAGAAATCCATTCATGTATATAACGACAGAGAACATATCAAATGGAGAAAAAACATGAGAACGAAAAGAAAGTATAGAATATGTCATATAATAAGAACGAAAGATATATTTATTTTCTTACATGATCATTGAGTATTATGGGTCAGTTGTTAGTTTTCTCTACACGAATATATATTTTAAAGAAAAAAGTGCTGATTATTTATAGTTGATAGCAACATTAAACTAAGAGAAACGATTTGTTTTAGGTAATGAAATTTGCACAGTTGGGGGTGCGATTGCGACTGCAGGTACAGCCATAGCGAACGGTGCCACGCTTGGTCAATGTAAAGCCGTGAATAGCGCAGTATGTGCATGTGCAAGCTACACTGCTAATAAGGCGCTAGAGACCATGGTCTTGAATGGAGCGGCCGCTGTTGGAGCGGCAGTACATGGGACTGCTGTTGGCGTTGCCGGTTTAGTGGCAAACGATAAGGATCTTCTTAATGCTGCTGGGGATATTTTTGTAATAAGTGGCGAGGCAGCCAAGAAAGTCGGCACCGGAGTGGTGGACAACGTCAACGGCATTCTTAATAGTACACCAGGTGTGGGACACATTAAAGGAGGAATCCATGACCTTTGTGGTGATGATGAGGGTGCAAGGAAGGCCTATTTTGCAGCCAACAGAATGGTTGGAGTGATTGGTGGGGCGGTTGCAGGTAGCATTGGCGGACCAGCTGGTGCAATTGCTGGCGGCATAGCTGGTGGTGCTGCAATGGATGGCGTCCACACTGGATATGCATCGCTTCAAGATGACAAATACAGTCCACAGGGTCAGATTGCAGCTTGGACGCAGGTAATCTGTCTAACTCAGCTTTTAACTTTTTTAAAACTAGCCATGAAGAGAGTGAAAGAAGCGATAAACTGACATAATTTCAATGTACATTAGCAATTCACTAAACGAGGTTGATTTGATAACAAATTATATTAAGACGCCGTCCCACCCTGATACAGTCTCTCTTACAAAAGCTAGTTTTCGTCAGAAATCTTAAAATTGAGAAAAATGCATCAAACGATAGTGTGAAGTTTGCTCGTTCAGAATGCCTATGACTTTCGACAGAATGTTTAATTTTTGACAAAAGATTTTGATGGTTTTACATGAAAAATATGAGTTTTTTCAGGTAAAAATGACAATGTTTTTTGTTTTTTCTCAGTTTATGATTTTCTATCTTTTGACTAGGATTTCTCAGTACAGGCTAAAGTTATATGCTAAATTTTGTTTTGGTAAACAGAGCCCGTCAAGATGTAGGGCATTGGAGAGTCCTTTTTTAAAACAAAGCATTATCTTCATTGTCTATGAAGACATTTATATTAATAAACTTTCATTTTTGCCGCGTTTTTTCACCCATTGAACTTGTCGCCTCCTTTCATAGCTAAAAACGTAAGAATTTTAAAAAAACGGACTGTGTGGTGCCCTCTATACTGACATCCTTTTTCTAAAAAAAAAGAATTACGCATATAGCGCTATTCTGCATCGGGAAGTTCTTTTTACAACATGAGCTATTTTTCGTCCTTGTTTGAGCTGTATCTCGCGTATATATCATCGAATTGGGCTGAAACGTTTATCGAAGCTTGCCTGATACAGCCCTGACGAACTCTGAAAATTTCATGTAATTCGTACTAGCCGAAGATGAGATCGGATTTTGAGAGGAGAGAAGCTTAAGAAATTAGTAATACCAAAATGTACTCAACAAAGTAAATATAAATTGCTATTTGTGTGATATGTTAATTGTGTTGTGATTTTGTAATACGGGGAAATACTACAAATATTGCAACTTCAAAAACCGGAATAAGTGTCAGCATTGAGGTCTTGTTTTAAGCGTTATTGACAAGATATTGATACATTTAAAGAAGAAGCTTTATGGCTACTAAGTATTATCTCTATTGCATGAGTACAAACATTTTTAAAATATGGGTATACTCTGTTTATAAGAGTTCTACAATTTAGTTACTGCATTACAAAGATCAAAAATTGTTTTTATTCATCGTTTAGCCTAATAAAGTTTTAAACTTAATTTGATCAATATATGATACTTTTGAAATGGAATGGAATTAATCATTTTTTATTTACTTGTTCGCTTATTTGTAGGTGCTCACAGCTGAAAATGGTGAAGATGTTGTTGACGGCCTTGTACATGGAATTGTTACACCTGTCTTCGACGGAATCGTCGGCTACAAAATTGGGAAAGCGGTTAATGCCCTTGAAGGCCAAAGTCCGCAGGAAACAATCGCTGGTGGAGGCGAGAAAGAGGGGTATGTACCACAAAAGCGAAAATTAGATTACGACAGTGCCAAGAGAAGACAGCTTAATGATGGAACTGCATATAAAGCTGTCGATCACCCAGAACACTTCCCGAAATCTGCGTCGGCCACTGCCACAGTTGTCCAAGGAAGTGCTGGAAGATTTGCGGACAATCCAAACCATCCAAACAATCCGTATCAAGACTTTGACGGTCCCGACTCGAATGAGACTGCCGACACCATTTCGTCAGATTCTGTAAAAGAGACCTGGGAGTACGAAGCCGTTAAGTCGGTCGGAAAAACGTACGGTCTCAGGAGCAAAGTCGTCAAGCTGCCTAGTGGATGTAATGGGCGTGGGATGCAACTTCTCATTGAAGACAACAACCGCAGCGTCACTTTGATTCAGCACGCTGGAGATAAACAATACGGTTTATTCATTGGATCGCCGGAAGAGCAAGCCTATGAACTACTGAGGACAGTCGGAAAGAATATCAATGAAAATACCGAAACACTGAACTTGCTTGGATGTCATGTCGATAAAACTTTTGCACAACACGTTCAATCCTACCTCAATGCAGATGTCCGCTACCACCACATTACAGTTCAAGTTCTTCAGGTAACAATATTATAAAACTTTGTGGGCACCGGAATTCCAAAAAATATCCTGTTTTAATAATGTCAAAACTAGTTCCCCTATCATAGTAATGCTGAAGCTTTTTGAAATACATTGTAAAATAGTTTATCCCAGTACTCACTGCTTCAAAGTAATTATGCTGTAATTTTTATGGCATAACTATTTAGCGTACACTGAAGTATCCCATAAATTACAGTGCCGTTCGTATTATAGCACTGAATACGGTAATCAATTTTATAAAAGATTTTCTTGAAATTTCAAATGAACTAGCGAATTTTATTAATGAGAAATACTTATCACACTCATAAAACACATGAGCTTTTTCAAGTCTACAACAAGTTTTTTTCCTTTAGGACTTCCCCATCGGGGGTGTACATGGTGAATGGAGTTTCAGCATCAACGCTCAAGCGGGAACTTTCAGCATCTTCCATGCAAACGCACAGTTTTTTGTTGAAGATTTAATCAGCAACCTTCACAAATATCTCAAACGTCCATAATATCTGAATAGAAACTAATGAATCAATTTTGCTGCCAATTAAGCATCTACATTTCCCTGGTATTTGACTTCACCTATTTTCAGCCCCTTTCTAAATGAAAACTCTCTTTTTTCGCTTTTTTTTTAAATAAAACGATTATACTTTTTCTCTCAACTGAATACAAAATAACAAAACACTTTGTTTTCACACTATTTCTATATGATTTCAATGTCATGAACATTTTTTATATTTACAGCAAATAATACCTGACATTTCATATTAGTTTTGAAAAGGGAAACGGATTCATTGTTTTTATGTATTGATAAATTCAAATGTTGTATTTGTTGCAAAGATTTCAAAAAAAAATAAAGTTCTCATTAACATCATTATGTAGCCGAATACAGAAAAAAATACACTTCATATTTTTCTAATGTTCACTTTTCAGTAATAAAAAGAAGAGTTTTTTTATCATTGAAGTTAATAATTGGAGAATATAACTCAAAAGAAACAGCTTGTTATCATGTCATTCAACAGAAGACAAATATTGATAACAATTAATGATTTATAAATAATAATAAATGAAAAAATGCTGAAGAATATATTTTATTATTATATTGATATGAACAGAAAAATGAATAAATTTTAGAAATTATTTGCAACATTTTTCATCAGATGATCAATAATGAAACAAAGAAGGTGATATTTTTAATAGAATCATCAAATATGTTCGACATTATTTAAATTATTAGGTATCAAGAAATGGATTCTCAAATGATATCCTTCACTTTATCTATATATATTTGTTTAATTTTAAATAAAGATAATAATGGATGAATGATTCTGATATTCACTATATATAATCGTTTCGAGGATGTGATTGTATGATGTTGAAACATGCATCATCGACACCCAAATCCTCAAGTTAAATATTTGATTTTTGATGTCATGATCTTATTGTATACATTGTTAGGTCATATGAAGCCAGACCATATTTGACACTAAATTTTTAAGCAACCAGAAATAGAAAATTGAATTAAAGTGAATGTTGATTAATAAATGAATTGAATGGGCTATGACCCGAAATTATTGAAGAGAAATAGCGTGTGAATGTACTATTTTGGATCTTCCTACACCCATACGAACACCCTCAAGATATAAAGGAAGCTTCGAAAAATTTTTCATTCAGTTTTTATTAAGCGAAAAAAAAGAAAAAAAAATATTGTTATTCATATGAATAAAGAGAAAACCATCGTTGATAAATACAATCACTGTTAATCAAAAGATTCTGTCATAATAACTGGAGGTTGTGGAAAA